AATATTATTTTTTGGTACGTTACAATTTCGAAATTGAATTTCAATAACAAATTAAAAGAAACATTAAATATAATTTTGTATATTTAATTCGAAACCTTCGAAACCTAAATGTTTCAATAATTGAAAATATATCATTGTAATAAAAATGTTGTACACACTTTCGTTTCATCATTGATTTACAGATTTACATACATTTTTTTGTACCATATCAAATATGGATGTTTCATTACACTAAATATAGATATAATCGTTCTTTTAAACTGAAAAGTTGAAAATATCGTACGAGACATGCAGATATCGCAAGCGCCCGCGCCGCTCGGAACGAGAAAGTTAGCGCCCGCTCGCCGCGCGCGCGTCCTCGAGTTGCCGGACTATTTAATTAATTCCCAGGCGAGTTTTAAAAACGCCATTCTGAAATTTTCACATTTTTTAGTAAATTTTCCGAGGAATCCGGTAGTATTTGTAAAAAATAAATTAACTTCGGGCGTCATGGTCAAAATTAACTTTTAAGAATTATATAAATTCACAGTTTAATTGAATTACAGACTCTTTGTGTTAACAAAACAAATAACAAAAAATTAGTATCCAATCGATGGCTGTACAGAGTCAACCGCAGTTATTAGTTGCGCAAATAAATAAAAATTATAAAAGAGATATAAAATTTATAACTTAATAATACATGTTCGAACGTTTCAATCCCTTATTCGGACCATCATCAGCGACAATATTTAACGTTAGAAATAAAGATGTTAGTAAGCTTGAATATCTATACATTCTTCCTTGTATTCCAACTGAGGTAAATCCATCACTTAGTAGAGTGACAGACAACTAAATTTACTTTGAAAATTGAAAAGTTGTCTGTGAAACGATAAACAATATATCCAATAATTATTAATTAACGAATAAAGAAAAATAACCAGAAAAAAATATACCTTTTAACTAAATCATTGTAAGAATGGCTTACCTCTGTTGGTCGACAAAAACAAAATTCCACAATCAAAAACACAAGTACAAAGCAATATGTGAGATTATCAAATTTCGTCGTTAAGATGTCAGTGACTAACGAGATATAAAAATGTAATGAAGGCTGTTCGCTTTAACCGCAATACATATAGTCATGATTTTAAGATACAATATTGTTTGTCAACTTATGTAGAATATTCGCATAAGACTGATCGAGACCTTCGGTATCTGTTTGTAAATTAAGACCTTTCTTTTGTAATTTAATATTGAGCATTTCAGATACTAAGCGTTTATGATAAAAATTTTCGCAATTTAAAATCTCTACATTACACCAATCGAAATCGACTGTGTTCCAATCTATGGTCAGTAATAACCGATCTAGAAGATGTATTCCACCTAATATGACTACGGTGTTCGTTGATTCTAGTTTTTAATTTCCTTTTTGTCTGTCCCACATAAGTTGAATCATAGTCATTACATTTAATTTTATACACAACATTTCTTTTTGATTCTTTTGGAAGCGGATCTTTATGGACTTTGATGAAATTATTCATTTTATTAATACTAAAATATGATAATCTGAAATCCTTTCCATTAACAGTATTCTTGAATTTGTCTGAAAAACCCTCAATGTAAGGTATTGTGAACCAATTTATCTTGTTTCGTAAGGTGTTATCATTATTACAATTTTGTTGCCTGGGATTAATTATTATTGAGTTGATTCTTTTTTTGATATTTTCAAATATGAATTTTAAAGGAAAATCATTAAGTAACAATGTATCAATAATTAATTTTAAATTTTTCTTATGGAAATCTGGATGTGAAAGTAACAATGCCTTATCAACCAAACCATAGATTACACCCATCTTTTGTGAAATGGGATGTTGAGACCAAAAGTTCAAAATTCTGCCCGAGTATGTAGGCTTCTGAAACCAGTCAAATTGTAAAAAATTACAATGGGTCTCAACATCCCATTTCACAAAAGATGGGTGTAATCTATGGTTTGGTTGATAAGGCATTGTTACTTTCACATCCAGATTTCCATAAGAAAAATTTAAAATTAATTATTGATACATTGTTACTTAATGATTTTCCTTTAAAATTCATATTTGAAAATATCAAAAAAAGAATCAACTCAATAATAATTAATCCCAGGCAACAAAATTGTAATAATGATAACACCTTACGAAACAAGATAAATTGGTTCACAATACCTTACATTGAGGGTTTTTCAGACAAATTCAAGAATACTGTTAATGGAAAGGATTTCAGATTATCATATTTTAGTATTAATAAAATGAATAATTTCATCAAAGTCCATAAAGATCCGCTTCCAAAAGAATCAAAAAGAAATGTTGTGTATAAAATTAAATGTAATGACTATGATTCAACTTATGTGGGACAGACAAAAAGGAAATTAAAAACTAGAATCAACGAACACCGTAGTCATATTAGGTGGAATACATCTTCTAGATCGGTTATTACTGACCATAGATTGGAACACAGTCGATTTCGATTGGTGTAATGTAGAGATTTTAAATTGCGAAAATTTTTATCATAAACGCTTAGTATCTGAAATGCTCAATATTAAATTACAAAAGAAAGGTCTTAATTTACAAACAGATACCGAAGGTCTCGATCAGCCTTATGCGAATATTCTACATAAGTTGACAAACAATATTGTATCTTAAAATTTTTTATTAATAATAACTCTTTAACTGATAACGGCTAAAACTTATTGGAGGTCACTCAGGGTTATGACCTTGACAACATATATCAAGGTCAAGGTCATTGGAGGGTGTCACGTCCTAGTCACACGCTTTATTCGTGCTCGCGAGACGCGGCTTGATTTGGTGAGAGCGCGAGCGCGAGCGCGGGGCGGGGCGCGCGGGGTAAAGCCTCGACTTCAGCTGAGTTTGTTTTCACGGTTTTTTTTATATTAGGCAGGCTACTGTCACCAGTGCCTTTATTACAGGCACGTATCGTTATAACGAGTTGATTTTAACTCTAAATCTGCATGATTAAATATTATTGAGGCCCTCGTGTACCTTGTAGAGAAAAATTATGGAGAGTTTAGAGGAATCCACAGGAATTTTCTAATCTATCGACGCTCTAAGGAAGAGCACACGTTCAGACTAGAGGAGAGGAATGGCTTTTCGACGCTTAGGGAGGCGCACGTCCAAGCCGGAGTTCTTTTTGGGAAAGATGGGATTTACTTGCGCTCAGCTTAAGCGCTTGGTAGTCTTACCGTAAGCTCGAGGAGAGGAAAAATGAGGACTTCGAGTCCGTAAACGCTTTGCTTATGTACTTTTCTCTTCGTGATCCCTCGCGGTAACGGGATGTTTATTCCTTTGTTTTGTCGCAAAATGTTCTAGAACTTTCTGATTTTATAATTTGCAAATAGACTTATTAATTGTCGTAAGTTCGATTAATTTGGGTACGCTATTTCGTTCTGGGGGTCGCGACGCTTGTTTTGATGTACTTGGCTGTAGTGTTTCGCAGCCCGACGCGGTGAAACTTGCTTTTATTCTCTGCGCGTGTTTTTTCACTATAGGTTTTCGAAGTCGCTTAATTCTTTCGTTACGGCGCGCGCGAATCTCCCATGTTTGTTTTAGGACTTCCCTTTGATTGTGGTGTTCCGAATTTTATTTTAGCAGTCTTAATTATGTTGTAAGATGTTTAATGACTGGTTGATGCATTTTGTGTTGCACGGGGATGCGTTGTATAGACTATACGCGGTTTTTACTTCTTACAAGGTGGCGTTTACTGTTGTCTTGAAGTCAACTATTATGTTCTCTATTTTCTATCTGGTGATGATGCTACTTATGCAAGGAGGTGCATTCTTTTATTAGTTTTCTTGTTTAATAGTTGGCGCAGGCGCGGTGTGCGCGGTTCGATCGCAACGGTTTTGGTGGCACGGCCTATAGCTTTATTTGACTGTTGTCGACGCGTACTATACTCTCGTGCTATACTCCGTGCTTGCGCTCACTTAGTGAAGAACGGGGCGCTATGCTATAGGCGCATCGGACGTTACAGAGGGGGTCCCCTAATCTGGAGTATTACCAAAAAAAAATGTTATTTTGCAGATTTCACAAAAAAAGTATGAGATAAAATAACTGAAATTTTGTAAGTGTTTCTTACAAATTAAAATGTAATTAAATAACTTATATTTTCACAGAATTTGAAATTAAAACTAACATTTAAAAATAATGTACAGTCAAACATGTTAGTATAGATTCTATATACGACTCTACCATAGAGTATCTCAAGTAAGAGCTAATACAGATAGAATGCCGGGGTGATCCCGATTGACCACGGCTCGATTGGACACTACCAATCACAACGACTGGTGCTTAGGAGCTTTGTAGTCTCAAGCGCTGTGAGTGGCTCGTGTCCAATTGAGCCGTGTCCAACTGGGTGCCACCCACAAATTCATGTCATTTCATTTAATTAAAATGATATATAATTTCAATGCGATCCTTCATCACTCACTTATTCTTTTTATTTATATTTTATCTTAATAAACAACCATTTTAAAATATTTGTATAGCATAGTCATTTAACCTGTTTCTAAAAAAACGTTTTTAAAATAACCTTAAACTGTTTTAAAACAAAAATAACCATTCTTAAATATTTTATAAACGTTGTTGTTGTTCTACTTGGGACATAAGCAGTAAGCGAATTGACCAATCACAATAAAGACCATAACGTAAGCAGTAGCGAATCCAATGCTCGGTCCACAATCTTGCTTCAAGTCATAAGTCGAAAGAGGTTAAGTGATAATAATTGCTGTCTATAAACTGTTTTTGCGCAGTCTTTATGCTTTAGACTTAAGTGAATTGAGCAAAATTCAATTCTAAGTCCGAATCTACAATAGGGTTTTAAGCCTTAAGCCATAAGAAATGGGCGAATCACAGTCGTTTATTCTTCTCGGATTCGACTGTAATTGGTCAATTTCTTACGGCTTAATTCTTAAAATACCTATTGTAGATCCGGGGTAACGGCCTAAAAACGTAAGTTCTGTGGTCAATATATCACTTACAACTTACAGCTTGCGGCTTACGGCCTCTTGAAGCAAGGTTATGGACCGAGCAGTTGATTTCCTTACTGCTTAAATCTTTCATCTTATATTTTTATACGTGCCAAGGCCTTTAGTCTGTGTCAATCTGTATTCATTTTCTTTCCGCGTATCGCGTGGCGAGGTATCGACATCGAGCGCCGCGGTATGATCTAAACTTTTGGACGGTATTGTCGCGCTAATACTACATTAAATAGCGTCTAAACTACATCCTAGTTAACAAGGTGACGTCAGAATAACGTCATTTTTCCAGCCCGTAAATAGTTACTTGTCATCGACGTCATTTAGACGTTACTATGACATGATTATGTCAAAGTCTTCTTCTTTTTCTCAGTCTTGTTGTTCGTGGTCGAACATGGTGACTTTTCTCATATGCCTCTGGTGCGCACGCTAGTTGTACACAGTCATATGAGACCTACATTCTAACGTCGATTCCGAACGACGGAATTTTTGTCAGAGAAGTGTTCTTAGCAAAGATATTCTCAGTGGGTTGCCGCTTCCTTCCTCCTTTCGAGAGGAAATACAAGCGTATGAAAATATTTTTTGTTCTACCGCGGGAATCGAACCCGGGATCTCTAGTATAGCAGATCAGTACGCTGTCTGATTTGCCACGCACGCTCTTATGTTAAAGTCTATTGACGTCATTTTTGTTACGTTATAATGGCGTCGATAATTGATGTAAAAGTAAAATTGACCCTACAAATAAGCTGATATCATATATCGTCAAAATGATCTAAAAATAACGACAAATACTGTGAGCTTGTTTACTCGATTTTTAGACGTATCAATTGTGATACTTTATAAATCTAGTGACTTTATAATTAAGTAGTACAGTAACGCCGTTAATACGGGGTCTATAATAGAAGTCGTAACGGTCTTAAGTCATAGAAAATTCACCAATTATAGTCGATTATTCTTCTCATATTGGACTGTAGTTAATTTTGTTGGTTAATTTT